TTTTTTTTTTTCGTTTCTCTTTCTTTTTCTTTTACCGTAGAGGTCAACAAATAAGGCAAACAAAGAAGAAGATATTGGCCTTGTAAAATTCAGATTTTACAAGTATACTAATTACAAAATCTCTGGAGTGTTAATAGGATGACACAACGTCATTCGACGAGACAATCCTCAAATGACTTCACAAAATAATCGAGGTCATCAAAAAAGCTCTTCTAGCCTTCATTTAAGATCAATCGGGCTCCTCTCCATGAAAAAAAATAATAATTTTCACCAATTCCTAATTACAAGTCACAGAAGATTCTCATTCCATCATGAGCAAGTTGTACCGGAATACCTTCTACGGACCATTCTGCCAATGCCTTGTTATCCGGCATTGTTATCCTCATGGTGATCAAACTCATGCGTCATCCCAATGAACAAAGCCTGCTTCGGCCTAATTCTACTAACAGCTTCAAGACTCTGCTACAAGGAAAAGTGGCTGTTGTGAGAACCTCTCTTGCACAAGGTGTCTAAAATGAGAAGATCAAGTAGCCCTCCTCCAGCCCTTGAAATAAGATCCTCTGCTGCTGGAAGCGAGAAACATCCGAAATACACGCAGTTCTTGACTTTTTTCCAAAGAGGAAGCCTAAACAGACATAATCCTCCCCATGCATCACTGGTGAAGGAACAAACTGTAGGCCGGATGATCCTCCAATCAAGCTGAGCAACACGTTTTACTTCTTCTCCTTCATTCAATTTTTTCTTAACCAAGTAAGGAAACTGTTCTGCAAGACTTTCCATTGCATGTTGAGTGAGGTAAATTGGAGTTGGATCAATTTCATTTGTTGGACTGAATGGCTGCACTGCACGGATATCATCCAAACCTAGCACAGCATCTGCATGTTCGTGAGTCAAAATAATGGAATCTACACGAGGAATTTTATGGTGAGTAAACCAATGCAGAACTTGTTCTCTAAATGTTTTACCAACATCGATCAATATGTACTTGTGGGCGCCATTTTCATCGACATAGTTGATCAAGAGAGAAGTGTTGCACCTGTAATTAGGGTTTTTCTCCGGAGGCAGGGAGTGCGATTGGGAGCAGACCTGACACGGGGGATCGGTCGGGATGATAAGGCACCGGGCATTGGGTACCGCACTGGAGCAGCCAGTTCCGAGGAAAATTAGCGAGGATACGCCATTGTCAAATTCTTCGCCGTCCACTTTGGGATCGCCGTTTTGAGATAGCGCCATCTTCGTCTCCATAGCTGGAGGGCGGCCCCCGTGGGAAAAAGCACTACAAGAAATTCCTGCTTCTCAGTACATGGAACTTTTATTTGATCCGTTCAACTAACGTAGCTTTAGGTTTATACGTCAGAGAAGTAGTGTCACGTGTTCTTATTTTACCGCGTTGTCTGACAACCCCGACCCGAATCGGAGACCTATGTTCGCGTGTTGCTAGGTATTGCTCGATATTGGTCGATTTTGCTCAGCAATTAGAAATACCATTCTGTGAAGACCAATACCGAACAATACCGAGAAATACTGAGCAATACCGAGCAATACACGAACATAGCAATCCCGGATCAAATCGTCGGGCCGCGCAGTATTGAGCATAGGCGGAGGGAGGGCCCCCCCCTAAAAAAAATAATCAGTTATATTTCTTATTCATCTTACTCCATTGAAAAAAAAAACTTTGTGAAAACATAGCACAGTTCAGTGTAGAAAAGACCGGGTTCTCTGCTGCATTTTTATGAAGAAAAGAGCAGCTAAGGAAGAAGCAGAAGAAGATCTTCATCATCAGAAGCTAGAGAGAGTAATTCAATTCATCAATTTTATGAGTGAGGATGAAAGGGATCATAGCGGCAGGGGTAGCAGTAGCTTTTCTTCAACTTCTCATTCTTCTTCAGGATTGAGCTGTGTTACTGAAAGCAATGGGGATCGAAGTCTCCTCATCCAGTCGAGGAATTAAGGTTTAAGCACACTTAAGGAAATAGTTTATGTTATTTTCTTTGTATCAATTCTAGGAAACCAGAAAGCAGAGGCTGCCTTTTTAGCCTCCTCTGTAATTTGTTCTTCAATAGCTCTTAAATGAGAGCTTTTACTGAAATTAGCAAATATTTCTTCTTCTTGTTCTGACTTTGTTGCGGTTCTTACTTTTTTTTGGGACATTTAGGCCATTTAAGGCAAACTCACACACACAACGCATACACATGAACTCGAACCTTGGACCTCTTAATTGGAAGCCTAAGCTCTCAACCAATAGGCCAAGGGGAGTTGTGTTTGCAGTTCTTACTTACGCACAAGTTGCTTATGCAATGAGGTACACCTTATAAACATGTTTTCAAATTATTTAAATTTTTAATAAAAATGTTTTTTAAACATTAGTTACTTCATGAATGTAATGAACTTCACTTAAATTTTAGTGATTTTAAATTGAGATTTATTAGATTAGTTTAATGATTATAAAATAAATTTTAATCATTCATACAAAAAATCAATCATAAAAATATATTTATATTCATATATGCATATGAAATTCCATGATGGATATGAAATTAAATGAGAGATTTATAAATTTTAAATTTATATATTCATCTCACCCTCAAAACGAAGATCACCTGTAATGAGACGACACACAACTATTTTAATTTATGTCCCCCTTGAATAAAATTTCTGGCTCCGCCACTGGTATTGAGTAAGACCACGTGGCGACATGTTATTGACGTCCGAACGTAGAGCTATGTCAGGTCACCTGACCTAATAATTGTTCCAGTTACATGACTATTAGAAGGCTTCGTTTGTTTGTTTTTTTTTTTTTAGTAAAAGATAATTTTAGGAATAATGATCAAGAAAATGGAATTTTTTAAGAGTGGTTTTTTTCTTTTTTTTATAGCAGGAATCAATCTGCTTTGTGAATTGTAAATTCTGATCGACCTAACAAGCTACTCACACCATTAGTCTGGGCCAACACTTAAGGCTTTCGTAAAAGATAGTTTTAAAAATAATGATTAAGGTAATAAAATTTTCTAAATGAAAAATAAATATTAAAAATTTCTCAAAATGGTAGAAAAATGAAGCTCTCTAAAAAATATTTTCTACAAAAATTCTCCGTTTCTAAATAAAAAAGAAAAAAAATGCTGAAACAAATGAAGCCTAAGCAAGTTCTTTTTGTAGAAGCAACTATTTAGCAAACTCAATGAAATTTGCAAATTATCATAATTTTGTTGATAGAATTATTGATTAATACCCTTTTAGGATTTTTTTGTGGATGTGGTAGAGAATATTCTGTCAATGAATCAATTCTCTTTTCATTCCTTGATTTCAACACTCATGTCAAAGCATAGATTATTAGAGTTTGTGACTTAAATTATATTGGGCTTGGACTAAAAGGTTCATAATATGATATATGTGGTACAATTTAATTGTAAGATGTTTTATAGATCTTTTTTTCAACTTGCAAAGAACATGCGTAGAGCAATGTCGGACATCCTGGCTTGTACGAAATACATCGTGACACCGAAGTGTTATGCGATTTTTGGGATCTCGATATATATTTTTTTATTCTTCGGATTACATGCCAACATATACTTTCATAATTAGCTACAACATAGAGAATAATATATGATCTGAAAACATAAAAATAATATTCTACAATGAAATCAATATTAAAAATATAAATTGTTTAAATTTGCAACATCCTGAAAGATATTTTCCTACCTAGTATGTGGGCATCAAATAGGATTTATATTATTATGTAATAAAAGTTTTCTAAAAAGACAATCTCCTCTAATAGTTATCCATATACAAGGAGAGGTAACCTTCTAATAATACTTCCAATTAAAGTAGTGACAATTACTTTTTATAATTTTAAAGTTCATATGATAATGTGATTTTGAATTTTTAGATGAGATTATTTTAACTTTGGCGTGGATCTCTTAAATTATCGCCAAATGTAGAAAAGAAGGGAAACTTGTATTCTAAAATAAATAAATAAATAAATAAAAAAGGGAAACTTGTATTCTGAAAAGCTTAGAAATACTCCAAACTATTATTTGTTGGATTTTAATATTTTTAAATTAAATTAATATTTTAATTGATCAATAATGCTATTTCATGTCTTGATAAACCTCACCTAGATGTAAATTAACACTTCACTATATCTCTTGAAAGACCAAAGTATATTTGATAATTTTTGAAGCAATTGAAAGTTTTAATGTTTGTTAAAGGTGCTTTTTATTGGATTTATTTGAATTATAAATTAATTTTAATAATTATTAAATTTTAGAGTTTTATTTTTTTTCTTAATTTCCAAACTTCATGAAAATAAAATCATAGTAATGGATAACCCTAGGTTTTTTTTCATAGAAGTTTGAAAAATTTTCAAATTATCCAAATTTAAGTGATTGTAATAATAAAAAATTGCCCTAAATATTGAAAAATTAAGAACTATAGCATCCAAAAAATTAAGAGTTTATGAGTTTGCATTTTGTAATTTTTAGAATTAATAATGAATTTTCTAATTACTACTCCAATTTTCTAAGATTTCAATATTTGGTTTCTGTCCAAATAAATTCCAAATTTCATTTTTTAGAAAATTATTTTGTTAAAATATGAACTTTCCAAGATATAAACCAACTGTGCATCTCATTGATTTCAATTTTAAGCAAAACTGAAGTTACTCCTTAGAATGACAATAATGCTGATTTATCCATTCCATTATAATCATGACATTTTTCATAAAAGCCTACCAATTAAATAACTCTAAAAAAATTCTTTAGCGGCCAACAACTTAGGCTCAATTGAGACAACTTTTTCACTATTTCCTAAAATAATTTTTTAGTACAAATTTTTTTTTAGAATAATTTTTGTGCTATAAAACAGAAAAAAAATCCCAAATGAAGGCTTAGCCGTCTTCACACCAACGCAAGCTCTTCCTAAGAACCACCCCAATATCGCCTAAAGCATCAATTATAAAACCTCCAACTGAAAAACTCATTTTTCACTCCAAAATATAATAATTCATTTACAACCAAACTCTATTTCTTAACACAAAAAAATATTTCATATATATTCTTTCTCAACCAAACTCCATGTGCTCCACCTCCCCTCTCTTTGTTTCCGTAAAAATGCATTCGTGACTCCTTACAACCACACTTTATTAAAAAAAATGCCAAAAATATTCATACAACTAAAAATCAAAAGAGAAATATCCTTACAAAGATAAATAATAGAAAAAAAAATCCTTACAATCAAAATTTATTCCGGGGGTGCTGCCCCCGGAAACCCCCACAGGGGCCCTGCCTCTTGAACCCGCGATATGACTAGACAGGTCGAACCCCGCAAGGGGGCACTGCCCCCTTGGACCCCTACATATATGTCAAGCGAGCAAACAATCAAGGAAATGAACTAGGGCCAAGGGATAGCACCCCCGAAACAAATTTTGGTTGTAAAGTTATTTATTAAAAAAAAATATCTATACTTTTACTTGTAACTTTGCCCTCCCCTGAAAATTAAGATTGGTTCCGCCCCGCAAACAAATGATTTAAGATGCAGTAATATGTTTCACAAGCATTGTTTCATGCACCCCTCTGTCCTTGATGCCTTCTGCCACAAGACTTTCTTGATCGCTGGTCTTGGGATTTTACTTCATTACTCTCACTGGCATCAACCCTACAAAGAACACAAGAAAATTCCAATTACATGAGAATAAGCATATGGCTTGGACTGGCCTCCTCCAAAAGAACTTTTAGAAACCATTTGTTAGAGACATAGAAGTCATTTACCTTGATCTTAAATTATAAAACTTTTTTATGTAGGTTCTTTTCTTCTTCTTCTGACTCTTAAAAATAGCACTTTTTTCTTGTTTCCACTTGTTAAACTTGTTTCGATTTTTCAACCAGGAACTGTAATCCTTCCCCGGGCTACACTCGATGAAGTCAACTAAATCTTCCCATTCGGAAGGATTTCTGTGATAGCTTGGATCGCATTCGATAAACCTCTCACCATTGCTTGTTTTTCCTTGGGTTTCACTGTGATCCATGCCATCCACAGTGCAGGTCCTTGATTGCTGGTCTTCTTCACTTCTCTTGCTAGAATCAGTGCTGCAGAAAACATATTATGGAAGTAGATTGGAAATATGTTTTGAAATTATGAAAAATTGCACGTTTGATCATTTTGCAGCTCATTAGAGTAGGTAGTATAGCACAAAAGGGATGAATTGTCCTCTTCATTACATAATTTACTGTAAATTCAAGCATGCATGTACAGGTGCGAAGGTATTCTCGGATTAACCATTCAGGAATGTCTCTTACAGCAATTTAGATGGAGAAAATTTATAATTTAATATTCTTCTGCTCAATTGGACTCGGTCCTTTCAATCCACTAGTAGCAATCAAGGATTGGAACTAAGAACATATAGTTTTCAGATAAATGGCTTTTAGGCGAATTTTTGACTAGTGCAATGTTCTTCACTATAGGAGGGCAGGAGGGAGGGACGGGAAGCCGCTTTAAAAAACAGTAAAAAAGTCATCCCAAACGAAGCCATAGTTAAAGGTCCTAACTCCCTATTGTTGCAAGAAAATAAAGTGACAAAAATTATGACAAGAATAAGTCCTAATTAAAAAATAACAAGAAAAAAACCTATTAAAACAAATTCTAATTATTACCTTGATACAAAATGCTAAATTAAGCAATGAAATATATAATTAATCATGTTGTTTACAGATCTGATGATTGTAATCAACTCCCCTAGAGTATCAAGAACTCTCTTCTAGAGAATTATGCTCAAAGTGGTCATCCAGAAGATCAGGGATGATATCTTGAAGCTTATCCGGGTCACCCATGAGCCATATGGTGGTGGATTACTCGTCCATTGGACAAAATAACATCTATCCAATGGACTATTAAGCTCATCTGATAGCATAGGGTTTTCAAAATATATTAGCACAAAACATTAAGGACCACTATGAAGATCCACCATAGTTTTATAGATTTCACTTCGCAAATCAATTTGTTGTTTGATATCATAATAAATCTTATGCCCACCCACAACAAATGAAGCTATAAAATCATTGTATGCATATACCAGTAATGGTATGATATCTATAGTATTCATTGGTTGAGACCCATGCATCACTTCAAAAGTGATTTCTAGTAGTAGCATTGAAAAATTTATTGTAAGCAAAATTATGTTGACCACAAACTTAAGAGCTACATTATACATACTGCAAAATTATGTAATTTAATCTAATTAAGTCATGATAATTAATGGGCTCATTAATGAGTATATGATTGAACTAATCATACTGCACATATTGCACATATTGTATATAACGATAAAAAATAATGCTATTTTACTATGTTGTACTAATCGTACTATAAGATGGGTGCATCATACTATATGTATAAATAACTCGTTTTAGGATTTGATTTATAAACATTTGATATAAATACTTATTTACAAATTTTAAGTCGCGAGAGAGTTGAAAACCCTAAAAGAAAACATCTTCTAAGAGGAATAAAGAGGGGTTTTGCTTTTAAGAGAGATATATTTGCTTTGATTTGAAAACCCTAAAAGATGAGATCTCATTGTGAGAGTGCACTAGTGAGTTTTTTTCCCTCTCTTTCATCTTAATCCTCCAGTTGAATTTTGTTGGCTTGTTGTACTTAAGAGTGTAAATGTCTATGGGATCTCAACAGTTTGTTATGGTGTTCTTTTTGGGATGCCTGTGGACTAGAGAGGATAGGGTTTCCTCATTACCCTACAAGGAGAGACGCTTCTCTGTCCGGTGTTGGGCGAAAGAGAGAATAGTTAACATTGGGTTAGAGGGGTGTTGGGCGAAAGAGAGAATAGTTAACATTGGATTAGAGGGCTCAAAGCGTGGCCATGAGCGTTATTGCCAAGCCATATAAAAATTGATTTATGCACCATATTTATCTTGATTCTTATTTTACTTCACCGTTACTTATTTTTATTAGTGATTTTCATTATTTGTGCTCAATTGATGAACATGTGATAGATAATGATTTGGTACCTTCGATAAATTTATAGGTCTATTATTCATTGGTTGAAATTATAGTGTAAAATCTAATCAAATAACATTGATAGCTACTGGTCATTGAAATTGTCTTATTGTTTACTCAAAAAAAATTTCCACTTTATATTGATTTTTTAAATAAAAAAATTGCTTATTAATCTTGAATTTTAGCATTTTATATCTCACTTGTTTATTTAGTTAAAATAACAACAATAACTACAACATCAAGCCATTATCCCACTATGTGGGGTTGGCTACATGAAATCTTTTTTTTCTCTATTATGTCCTGCTAAGAGTTAAAATCTCATTTAAATCTAATAAAGAAAGATCATTTCTAATATTTTCAAATCAAGTCTTTTTAGGTCTACCTCAACCTTTCTTAACATAAGTTAAATCTAATACATCTACTCTCCTAGCCGGGTCATCGGAAGATCACCGTTTTATGAGACAAACTATCTAAGACAACTCTCTCTAATCTTATCTTCCTCTGGAGCTACTCCAATCTTTTCATGTATATGCTCATTTCATGTCATGTCTCTAAGAGTAAAGCCACTCATCCACCTGAGCATCCTCATCTCTGTAACACTTCATATTATGCTTGTCTTTTAATGGCCAACATTCTGCACTATAAAGTATTGCACATATAACCACCATCTTATAGAATTTTCCCTTAAGTTTGAAGGGAACTTTTCTATAACAAATAAGCCCGATGCATGGTTTAAAATTGCGCAATATGAGGTTCGCCTTGAGGCCTGCCTTTGCGCAATTCCAATAAAAAACGCCTCGAGTTTTTTTATGAGGCTTGCGCCTCAACTTGGTTGAGGCCCGCCTTGCCTCACTGGCTTGAGGCTTACGCCTCACGCTATATATATTTAAACTTACATAAATCTTGAAGTAAATGCTCGACATTGGACTCTATAGGAGAGGAGGAAGGGGATAGAGCAGTTCATCGTAATGATGATTCAAATGAAGAAACCTTAGTGATGACAATGTCGATGACTTATGAGTTCTTATGTGATATGTCATTGCTATTTATTTTTGGAAATTAGAATTATATGTTAATGAAAAGAATATTGAAATTTGGGAAAGATAGAATTTTTAGTTGAATTATATTTCATGTTGTCTTATTATTGGGATATTTTGATTTCACTTCATATCTTCTGTTTTTTTATGTTTTATATTATTCACTCATTAGTATATAAAAATGTTATCATTTTATGTTTACGCAATCTTTTGATTTTGAGGCTTACGCCTCGCCTCACGAATGAAAAACACCTCAATACCCGTATACGCAATTTTAAACATTGGCCCGATGCAATCTTCCTCTTCAACCATCCAACTTGAATTCTACTAATAATGCCCCCATCAATTTCACCATCACTCTGAACAATAGACCTAAGATATCGAAAATGTGTACTCTTATTTAGTTAAAATAAAATAAAATAAAATAAGAATGACAACTTAGGTGTTGTCATACACTTCAAATTCAATTATAAGTAATAATAAATGTTAGTTTCCCAAACTACAAATTTCTCAAATTACCATTCATAACAAGGAAATTTCAATGAATGCAACCTGCCTATAGACAATAGGAGATTTTTAATGCGTAATACAATTCACCTATGAGCAAGAGCAGGAAATTTGTAGTGCACACAACAACTAGCCTATAGGTAAGAAGGGGTTCATATTAAACAAATCAGTCTGCCTACAGGAGACAATAGGGGATTCGTAACAAACAATATAGCTCACTTACAAGCAAGTGTACGATCTTCTAGTGTTTATTGAACAAAATCTCCTACAAGCTATATGTTGAATGATATGATAACTTGAATGAGACAAAAATAAACTAAACATCTCTTCTATACTACAACTAAAACATAACTCGCCTTCAATTCATGCTACTGAATCCGTAATACTCGTTCAAGCAGATAGAAAGTGTATTTTGAATCCTAAAAAAAATTTGCGTACATTTCCAACCACAATCAATTGTGCATATGATCATATTTAAATATTTTAAAGTTCTCTCTCATGCATTAAAATATAATTCCCTAAACTTAAAAGTTATGAATTGAGAAGTGTGCTAACATTGTAGGAGCATGTAACAACCTTGGGAAGCAAGCGATAATCCCAAGAGTGCTATCGCCTTGTGAAGTGAGTCACTACATTGAGAGGCAAGTAACAACCCAATGATGTGCACTACATTAAAAAGCATGTGAAAACATTATGCAAATGCGTCAAAATGTATGCAAGTGGATCATGTGAATGCATTGAAAAATTTACACATTAATTTAAAAAAAAATTCAACTCGTCATAGGCGCTCTGGCAAATGTACTAAACTTTCAAATGCTAATATCTAAGAATGCTACGTGGGATAAAAAGCATGTTATTTCAAAATCCTACTTTCAAATTGAATACTTGTATGTGCTCTGTCATTCACATATGATTCCTAAATCCAAAGGTCGAACAATGTTGCATATTTCAAGTTTTTATGTTTAGTCCTCCTGCAAATAATTGGAGTTGACATGAATTAAATTAACAAGCGAACACCTAATCACAAATGTACCGGGATATTTAACTTTAAAGTTCACATTAGGCCTTCAAAGGCTCTTTAAATGAAATGCATCATAGAATTTTAAACTCTCGGGTATTAGCATTCATAATGATAACGCATGAGGTCAATAACTAAACCAGACTCTCTGTTAGCGGTAAAACAAAGTTGAGCAAATTCAAATAACAAATTATTTAAATCCTCAATGATGATCGTGATGAAAAGTTAATCTCAACCGGCGAAGGCTCTACCCTTCTAAATACCTCTGAACCTCATTGAAAATACAAATCCTTAAAAATGAATTTAATGTCCTCCCGATGATGGAGGTGTTGAAATTTAATCTTAATCGGAGGGGACTCGGCCTTTTAAATGTCTCTATCTTCCTACAAAATACAAATATTTTTAAAATGACATCTACATCACCCCGATGATGACCTTGTTCAAAGGAAATATCAATCATAGGGGACTATATCTTTTAAATGCTTCCACACATCAACAAAATACATATATTTTAAAG